CTGCTGTAGACCCAGCAAGCGAAACCGAGGAAGCGATAGCTCGAAGACGAATCATACGCTCTGAAGGTGAGAATTTAACATCAACATTCACTTCGGCAACCTATGACCCTGGAAGAAATTCAAAGATTCATACGTTAATACGACCCAGAAAAGCTGGAACCTCACGATAGTAAGGAACTGGCAATTGTCAGCATGAGTAGGCGCTTCGCTATCCTTTCCTTCTGTATCTTCAGCGTGTTGGCGATGGAGCAAGTCACGAAAGCCAGCGGGCAAAAAGACGGTAGCGAATAACCTCATGAATTGCAACGAGTCTCGAGGAAACAGGACCTATTCCCTGGACAATCCCAAACGCCGGCGCTGAATATGCTTTAATCGTCCTCCCCAACTAATCCTTGCAACAACCATCTGACACACCGTCTCCAACAGCTACTTCTTTTTATCCGTATTCATACAAACGCTTCAATGTCCAATGCCGCCAGCGACCCAGTTGTTCCATTCTGGGTTGCCAGGTGGAGGGAAAAGGCCCTGATCTTGCTGTTGCGCCGCGGCAGGTTGACCCTGCTGCCCCTGCTGTTGAAGTCTCTGCGCCTCCTCCTCCCTTCGATGCTGCTGCTGCCTCTGCTGCCTGTAGTAGAGAAGAAGCACCAGTGACAGAGCGAGGAAGACAATGATGAGGCTCTCGGCGATGCCGTCGTCCTCCAGTGGCACGCCGTCTGGGCCCGTGCCGCCGATGGTATCATCAAAGATGTCTTCATAGTACGGGTCGTCATAGAACAGTTGATCGTCTTGAAGGAAGTTGGCAATCCACTCGCTGAGTGACCAGTCCTTCTTTGGTTCTAGTGTGTGTGGTTAGCCGATGTGTATCTAAGTGATTGCGCCGTGTTGACTTACTAGGATCGTCTTGGATTGAGTGAATCGGGCCGTGAGTGAACGTGTTCCATGCGCTTCGGAGGCGGAGCTTCAGTAAACTCAAGGTGACAGGAAGATAAGCCTCCTCATTAACCTCGAGTGCTTGGTCGTAGTATCTCTTGGCCAAGTGGAAGTCTTGGGTCAGGCCAATGCCATTTTCGTGCATCCAACCAAGGTTCCAAAGGGCCTGGGCACTCTGCGAGTAGTCCGAGGCACCCGTGTAACACTGAACGGCCTTGTTGACGTCCGGCTCGGAACCAATTCCGTGGAAGTAGTAGTCGCCCATCTTGACCTGAGAGTCCACGTTCGACTGCCTGGATGACCTCGTCCAGTACATGAGGGCGAGTCTAGGGTTGTTGAGTAGGTTGGGGCGGGTGTGTTGCTGAAGACCGAACCACTCGGGAAGCGGCAACCAGTCGGGTATTTGGAGTCGTGACTGGACAGGATCAAGAATGAAAGCGACGTTGTTCTGCGCGCGCTCATATCCTTGCTCTGCTGCCATGACGTATTCCAAGAAAGCGAGCTCCTCGTCGCCGTAGTAGTAAGCTTGGTTCGCCTCGGCCCACGAGGAAACAAGCGGCTCGGCCTTTTCGGCAACGTTTTTGTAGTAGCCCAAAGCCATCGCGCACGTCTTGTCGCGGCCCACGCCGTTGTATACCATCTCAGCAAGGTAGTAGTGAGCCTCGATCTGGCCGTATCTGGCGGCAAGCTCGAAGTAGTTGTTTGCAATGCGGACGTCCTCTGCTCCGCCCTGGTCCAGGTAGAGCACGCCCAATTCGATCTGGGATGGAGCGTAGTCCTGTTCCGCTGCCGCTTTAAAAAGGTCGGTGGCCATGGCAACATTCTTTGGCGTGCCGTACCCGTAAAGCATCATGAGACCGAGTCCATGCTGGGATTGAGCATCCCCGTGAGAGATGCCGCGCTCAAACCATCTCTTTGCTTGATCAAAGCTCTGGTCGACGCCATCACCACGCAAGTACATGCGGCCAATGAAGCCAGCGGCCTTACTCGCCGTCTTCTCGATACCCTGCTTATGGTTTTCGATGATACGGCCGTCCTTACGCCAGTACCGTTTCGCCACAGTGAAGAAGTACTTGCGAGCAAGGTCCAGATCCCGGTCGAGACCCCTCTGCCCCTCGTAGTAGATCCTTCCAAGGTTGTAAGATGCCTTGGCGTCGCCCTTTTGCGACATGAGATCGAGGTACTCAATCACATCATCAATGGCGGCATTGGCGTCGGAGTTGGGGCTCACTTTGATGGCGTTCATACCGGCACTCGAAGCGCTAGCACCCTCGCCGTAGACACCGCCAAGCTCATCAGCGATACGATACGACTCAACCACCCAAGCCATGCCGCCAGGTGGGCCCGAACGATACCAGTCCATTGCCTTGTCCGCAACTCTCTTGTAGTACTTGCTCGCAGCTTCGCAATTCTTCGGCGTCGCAATACCGCTGTGATGGCGGTAGCCAATGGCCATTTCCGCGCGTGTGTCGCCCTGCATCGCTGCAAAAGTGTAGTAGAGGAGCGCCTTTGCCTGATCGGGAACAACAACATGGCCAATGCCAGTTGCATAGTAAAGGCCAATCATGTACTGTGCCGTGCGATTTCCGTGGACCGTTGCGAGGGTGTGGTAATGATCGAAAGCGACCTTGAGGTCTCTCGGGTAGGTGTAGTTGCCATAGAAGTTCATCTCCGCGAGAAGGTACAGCGCGTCCGTGTTGTTTTGCAAAGCAGACTGTTCCAACAGCTTCACAGCCTCCAACAGCGGACCTGTGACCTTGGTCTCTTGCGTCTGGTGGCTACCAGGAACAGGTGCAGCCTTCAGGCTGGGCACGACTTTGAGGGCATATCGGAGCACGGTGTAGACGACAGTATAGCGGCGTTCACGTCTCGGGTAGGTTCGGGGTGGTAGCTTGATCAGTTGTTCGATTGCGAGTTCGACCAAGTCCGCTCCTATGGGAAATCAGCTCTGTCAACCGTCATTCCCCCCACCATCGCAAATAGTGTACATACCGGGCTGCCTCGGAGGTGGGGTGTGGTGTTCCGGCAAAACATCCGTTTGTACTTTCGCATGCTTTCCTTCGCCGCTGTCGTGATTCTTTTCGTAATCGTTCAAGACCTTTTGCTCGTCGACACAGAATACAGTGGCTGCCTGCAACAGCACTTGATGATATGTCAGCTTCCGTTCAGCCGTTTGGATGCAGTGACTTTTAACTTACGGCCTAGCCAGAGCAAAGAACGCCTCATCTCGAACGGTAATTATGTGCCAAATTCGAGCGCAAAGTTCCGCGACATGTTATATCTCACGGATATGCGGTGTCGGGAGAGGGTTGGTTGGTATTCCTAGCAGTTGCGCAGCTCGATGCTTTCAGAACAGCTGTCCTGGCTTTAGGTCCACGTAGATGGAATTGGGAGCTCCAAATGAACAGGGATAGTCCACTGAACGGGACTTGATTGGTCGCTAGCTTAGCCGGACGCCAGGTACGCAATACCGCTGCAACGGGGCGCTAGCTCTGAAAGCTACATACTTGTATAAAGCGGGGGTTTGCATAAAAACGCTTCTTGATTGACCGGCCCTCCAATGCGCTCACTGGTGGTTCTTGCTCAAGTTTCTACGAATTTCATAATCTGCAAAATTTCGATCTCAGCCGGGTAGAAGTGAGAATACGGGCAGGAAGCTTCAAATTTGACAAGGCCATAGAAGAGAGGACAAGTCTTGAGCTGTCTAAGCTGTGTGCCATCGACGCTCAGTAAGTAGTTGCAAATCTCAGTTTTTGGTCAAGGGTCCATGCTCATATAAGCCATGCACCACAGGTCAACGTGCCGTGAAAATGTACAACCTCTCTTGCGTTGACGGCCATAGATTTGGCGATGTTTATGTTCTCGACATTCAGCGCCTCAATGCTGGTCTGTCCGCCATCTCATCAGATCAGAAACTCAGCCTCTTTGATCCCGCACGAGTGGGACAGGGTCCGATCAAGTCATACCAGACCAATCATGGCAACTTGACATGCCTTAGGACTTTTGACTGGCAAAACTCTGTCGTCTGCACGGCGGGAGAAAATGGGGAAGTCTCAGTCTGGGATATGAGGGAAGCATCAAAGCCGCAGGTCGCCCATTTTGCTGGTATGTTTTCTCACTCTGGGGAGTGAAATATCTGCCGAATTCCACTAACATGACATTCAGCTACACAGTCACCTATTTTGTCTATGGCATGCGACCCTAGAAGCAACACGATAGCACTAGGCACGGAGTTCCAAAACCACACCGCATCCGTGCTACTCTGGTGAGTCTTCCTTGGATCACAACTACTCACCCCAGCCCCAGAATATGGGACCTCTAACACGTTCTGTAGGGACATCAGAGCCGGCCCGAAGCAGAGGCTCCAGTACGATGAAGTCCACAGTGACGACGTCACAGAACTCCGCTTCCACCCTTCAGAATCTCACATACTCCTCTCGGGATCGACCGATGGACTCGTCAACGTCTACGACACACGGATTTCGGACGAAGATGAGGTCGTCGTCCAGACATTGAACCAGGGCTCTGTCCACCACACCTCCTTCCTCAGCAATACCGAGGTCTATGTGCTGACCCACGACGAGAAGCTGGCCGTGTACAGCGTCGCGGAGGACTGCGGCTCTGGCGCAGCTCTGGTCGACTTTGGCGACGCAAGAGAGACACTAGGCTGCCAGTACATTGCCAACATGACGACAAAGGTTGACGGAAGCGGTGCTATCGTCGGTGCTGGCTCACAAGAGTAAGTTTTGTTCATGAACGGTCCCTAATGTTTACCAGTGTAACTAATAAGTGAATCAGCCGCCAAGTCTTTGAGTTGGTACACCTGTCCCGTACCGCCGAAGGCAGCTGGGGCTTCGACAGGGCGAACAGTGTTGGTCTGCCGGGGGGGCACGGCGAAGAGATTGTTCGCTCGTTCTGCTTCTTCGATGACGAACAGGTCGTCTTCACTGCTGGAGAAGACGGTAACATCAAGGCTTGGAGGCCCACATAGGTCAGAGAATCGAAGAAAGCAAAAGTAAAAAAATAAGAACTTGAGAACGAAAGTGAATTGTTTTACGGCTATGCTGCTCATTGCGTTTGGGTATCATGGTTTCCCCCCTTTTCGTGTTGCCAAAGAACGTCATCCCCCGAGTTAGCCGTACTTGTCGTGCTTTCCCTTGACCTTCAACATCAATAACTGCTCGTGATAATCGCCCTCCCTTCTCGCCCTCTTCAACTTCCTGACTTCGTCGTCCTCGAGTCTGCGTCCCACCGCTTGTTCGAGCTCCTTGCGACTAATCTTTTCCTTTGCCTTTTCTTCCTTATTCGCTTTGAGCCGCGGCTTGAATCTCGCCTGCATCCTGATACGCCATGTCGTGTTGAATGTGATGGACTCTTCGTCGCCTCTGACGTCCGAGGTGGTAACATTGGGTTTCGGCGGCTTGACGGAGAGGAAGGTATCGCGTAATGTCTGGACTTGGAATGTACCAGGGGTATCTGCCGTTGCGATGATATTGAAAGATTCTAATGGTGAGACAGCCGCCGATGTCGCTGACAGTACGCCGTTCTTGTCACATCCCAGATATCTACGGCTCGTTAGCACATGGCTCCCACCAACAACATTCTGCAGGTTGTTCTTACTGTCCGTGATGGCCCTTGAATCTGAATTGCTCCGTCCCTGTGATCCTATTCGCAACCCACACCTGCCGCACGTCGTGCGGCTCAGCCGTAGACGGGTTGCCATCGACGATATTCTCGATCCCCAGCGTAAATATCTTGCCTACGGCATCGCACGCCAAGGCAGTAGGGGGCTCCGTCGGCAAGACGAACATGACGGGTCCGACAACATCCGTCACGGCATCGGCAGACACCCAGCTATCGTCGTCGCCGTCCGCGTTCGCCGTCGATGCGGAAGCTCCGCCGGTGCGGGCGACCTCCCCGCCCTGCGCGTCGCGGTCCTGGGCCTCGGCTTCCGCGCGCTTTCTCTTCTTGGGCTTCTTGTCGCCCTTGAAGGACAGGGGCTTGACCATCGCGTTGTATCGCTCGTATTTCGTGTCCCCTCTCCGCTCGCAGGACTCGATGAGGAAGGTGAGAGTTGCGTTATCTTTGATGCGGTTTTCGGCGATAACCGGTAGGCTTTCTTTTTTGGCCAATCTTGGGTGCGTGCTTGACCTTTCGAAGTCTGAGAATGGTGATGAGTAGAGTTGCAGGGACGTTTGGACGTTGTGATTACATAAGGGGCTATCTGTGCCCCTCCCCCACCTTTTAGGTACCGACCCGGCAGGTGGTATCGCGGAAGCTTGTCGATGAGCCTACGATCTGGCTGGATTCCTTCTTGTTTCATTCGTTGCTACCTTTTTAAACTTCTACAACCCAGATAAACACCATGGTTCAGATCGCACAACCGGTGGTTGTGTCTCTCAACGACCTTAAGGAGGGTGAGTACCGTGGAGCAGGATCGTAGGATGGAACGGATAACAGCTTACATGTGAAATTCACATCATAGGCAACATCCCCTTCGAGACTCTGAAAGAGGCCTTTGGGCCCGAATCTCTAGGTATTCTGGTGGTCAAGGATGTGCCGCCAGAGTTCACTCATTTGAGGCACCAGACCTTATCTTACGCATCTTACTTGGGCAATCTCCCTGAGGAAGAGCTGGGTACGATGCAAATTGCTACCCTTCTGCCCACCACTGCTTACACATGAGCAGTCAAGCTTGAGAATGAAAAGGCCAAATACCTGACGGGCTGGTCCCTGGGTAAAGAAACACTCAAGAATGGCCAAGTTGACACATTCAAGGGTTCATACTATGCCAACTGCGCATTCTACGTTGATGCAACTCTCGACTGTGCTAAGCCGACGGCCGAGTTTAACCAGAACAACTTTCCCGAGTACCTCTCGCCTAATATCTGGCCTTCACAAGACGTTCTTCCGGGGTTCAAGCCAAGTGTGAAGAGTCTTTGCCGAGTCATCATTGATGCGGCCGTTTTGGTAGCCCGAGCATGCGATAGATTTGCCGAGTCTGAGATCCCAGGATATACCAAAGGGTACCTTGAACACGTTGTCAGTACATCCAACACGACCAAAGCGCGCCTCCTGCACTACTATCCGCAGACGAAAGAGGCCCTTTCCAAGATTGGTGCAGCCGACGATGACTGGTGAGCCGTTGGATTGTAACCGCCTTCAGAAACCCACTAACAAATACTAGGTGCTCAAGACATAAAGATCACGGGTTAGTGGGCCCCTGCTAGCAGTAAAGCTGATGGGACTAACACTATCGGTAGATGCCTGACTGGCCTGACGTCTGCCATGTTCATCGACGAGAAGGAGACTTCTACCGCGGTACCTGAAGCCACGAACAATACCATAGCAAGCCTACCCCCTTTGTCGGAGCTGGCCGCGTCTCCCGATTCGTCGGCAGGGTTGTATATCGAATCGCGGAGCGGAGAGACGGTACAGGTCAAGATACCGCGGGACTGCATCGCTTTTCAGACCGGCGAAGCTCTAGAGCGCATCACGGGCGGCAAGTTCAAGGCAGTACCGCACTTCGTAAGGGGAGTCAGGGCATCTGTGAGCGACGGACGCGTCGCGCGTAACACGTTGGCCGTCTTCACTCAGCCAAACCTTGGTGAGGAGGTGGACAATGAGCAACACATAACGTTTGGCGAGTTTGCGCGGGGCATCGTGGCCAAGAATACTGTAACATAGGATTGTCTTCGTTACGCTGATGAGAGTACGAACGAAGCCTGTCAAAGGTCACAATCGGCTTGTTGATTGCTCCGGTGTATGTGACTAGTAGTCAAGTGAAGCCGACCCCGATGTTGAATTTGTCAAGATTGTTCGGGGCCACACGGTGGGGCACCCGACAGCAGGGGCCCGGCCGGTAGTCCCGGAGCTCGGTACTTGGTGTCAAAGGGGCCAGTCTATACTCCGAAAGGCAGCTCGGAGCCGTAGCTGAATATTCCAAATCATAGACTTAGAGGACTAGCCAAGCCGAGGCCCAAGAGGCGCAGAAAGATAGCGCATGAAGTCTCTAGAATTGCGTGATGCTAATGGTGAGTTTCGAGGTTGCTCAGTCAGCAAAGCTTTCGTGCGCTTGCATCATGATTGCAAAACCTCACCTATTGGCAGCTAATCCGTGGACAAGGAGCTTTATCAACACCTGGAAGCTACCCCGCCCCCGCCGCCTGCTCCAATGGGGGCCTTTCGTCACCACTTCTGCCAGGTAAGGTATCCGTATTGCTGCTGCTGGGCCACCTGTATCGCATATCCTCCAGACAAAGCTCCATGAAGCTCCCCTCGAACGTGTTATTAAACCTGACTCGACGCCCAATCTTTGCGCCGTCTCTATTCCCACTCATCTCATCCTCAAGTCCGACGATATCGCTCACCAGCAGAAACACTGCCCGCCTCCAACGCAGCCTAAGCACCACCCTCACATCCCGTTTCCGCTACACATCATCAACAATGGCCGTACCACCCAAATTCGCAGCTCACAAGCTGACCTTCGGAGCGGAACCCAAGCCCTCGGCCGACGGCGTCCCCGCGCAGCCGCACACCATCGAGCTCTACCTCGACTACGTCTGCCCCTACTCCGCCAAGCAATTCAACACCTTTTACAACGCCGTCGTGCCCGCCATCCGCGCGAACCCGGCCTGGGCCGCCAACCTCGAGGTCATCTTCCGCCAGCAGGTCCAGCCCTGGCACCCCTCGAGCACCCTGGTTCACGAGTCCGCCGTGGCCGTCGTCAAGACCGCCCCCTCCAAGTTCTGGGCCTACAGCGACGCCCTCTTCAAGGCGCAAAAGGACTACTTTGACGCCAACGTCGTCAACGAGCCGCGCAACGAGACGTACAAGCGCCTCGCCAAGCTCGCGGGCTCCGTGGGCGTCGACGAGAAGGCGGTGCTGGACCTGCTCGTCGTCTCGGACAAGCCCGACGCCGAGGGCGCGCTCAACGTAGGCAACGGCGTGACCAACGACTTCAAGGTGCTCATCAAGCTCGCGCGGTTGACGGGCGTGCACGTCAGCCCCACGGTGCTGTTTGACGGGTACCCGAACAACGAGATCAGCTCCGGCTGGACGCTTGACCAGTGGAAGGAGTGGCTTCAGAAGAACATTGTCTGACTTGAAGGGCGGCGGGGTCCGGCGCGGGACCACCGGCTTTGAGACGATGACATGCTGTTTGGTGCTCTACTAGCTAGTAGGGAATCTGGCAGGGTTTCCAGGTTGGATTCTCATAGTAGCGGTCTTCAGTCACGTCAATCATTTAACCTAGCATAAGCAGCTTGAGTCCGAGAGTCAATCAAATAAGAAGAAACAATAATTCATGTCAGTTGCAGCTCGTGACGATTAATTGTTATCCTCATGAATTTCGGAAATGTTGAAATGTCGTACACCATCCGGGCGCTGGATAATACCGATTCAGTCAAGTCGCGTCGCGTGGGGAAAAATTAATTAGTACCGGGGAAGGTAGATGCGTGCAGTGACCTCATCCGACCTCAGCATTCTCATCTCACCATCAACCTCTCACTCTCCCTAATCCACCCATCTCACTCACTCTCTCACTCACCTTCCCTTCCCTTCGGACAACTTCACAATGTCCCTTCTACGGCTCGCCTTCATACGGCAACCCCCACAAACGATACGAATCCTCCCCACGATACGCCAATGCGCTCTCCGCCCTACCCTCCGGAAATCTCTTCTTGAGAACCAGCAATGTAGCCTGAGACGGCCCTTTGCCTCCGCACCACCGCCGCCGACCACCGGCCCCCGGGCCGTCACCACACCACCGAAGCCGCACTCAGCCGGCGCCGGAGGCTCTGCCGGTCCCCGGGCCGGGAACCCACGTGAGTAGTAGACCCATCCATACTTCATCTCACTGTCTCTGCACACAAAGCCAACGGTGACATACTAGAACTGCCTGAGCGACTACTCATCTACCACGCCGGCACCGGTCGGACGGCCTTTCTGGCCTTTTGGAAAATCACCACCGTCTTCTCATGCGTCTTCTTCTGCTTCGTAGCTGCCCCCAGCTACGTCCGCGCCGAAGACAAGACGCTCACAGAGGCAGCGGGATGTAAGCTCTTCACTCCCTATCTCACCCACACCTTCACTGCAATCCCATCCCATCATCCCCTATCCTCCTCCTCATCCCCTCTCCCTTTGCTCCACAAACTCACAGCGCCTGATATATCTGTACTATTCCCATACATCATAAGCTATCGCACACATACTAACACCCAAACCAGTGGCCGCCTGCGGCATCATCCCCTTCCTCTTCGTAGCCTACACCTCGGCCCCCTTCGTAACCTACATCTACCTCCGCCTGCCCCCTTACGCGCGCCAATCCCGCGCCCTCCTAGAACGCTACGTCCGCACCCTCCCGCCCACGGCCCAGCTCGAGATCGGCACAATGGGCCTCGCCACCCGTCCCCGGCTCACGGCCGTCACGGCCGCCGAGCTCCGCCCCGTGGCCGCGGACAGCGGGCCCCTGGCCACGCGCCTCGGCATCATCACGCACACCAAGGACGTCTCGGCGCTGATGGCGAAGCGGAGGTGGTACCACTACCGCCCCGTCGGTCAGTTTGGTATCAATAGCGTTGAGGCGGGCGGGAAGACGAGCAGCAGCGGTGGCAGTGGCGGCGGCAAGGGCGCTAGTCATGGCGTCAATGATGGGTGGGTGTGGAATATTGTGCGCGAGTCGCTGGGTAAGCGCAAGTGAGGAGGGCGAAAAGGGTTGGCCGGTTTGCCAAGCGCGTCCCACCATGTATTCGAGACTCTCGAGTCAAGGAGAAAGAAGTGCCGGTCAGGGAGACGGTAGCATTGTACGATTCAAGCAAGACCAAGAGAGGGCGGAAGTTTACGTACGCGCGTTCCGCTAGTCGTGTACGCGCTCGCTGCGTTGTCACATTATCTATGTAAAAAAGGGGTGTATTCATGAGGGTGAGGGCGTGGATGATCGGAAGCCCACGCGGGAATTCCGGCATCCATCGCGAGCGCGCACGCGGCAAAGCATCACGTTCGATATGGATGCCGAGAGACAAACGACATAGATGTGTATACTATCAAACAACAAAAAAAGTGGCAGATGATACCTCACCCCTTCCCTGGCGCAGACGCACTGCCACTAGTCATTCGATTTCGCCACAGTCTAAAATCTGCTGATCGAGTCAAGGACTTAAGTCCTGATAAGAGAGCTATTTTGGACCCCGTCCAACGGTAACAGTGGGATCGAATCATCGTAGCATATTCCACAACGTCGTGGAGAGTATTCGCACTTTGCCCATGTAAGAGGCGAAAAAAAAGAGAATGCTCTACCTAGGTTGAACCATGTTCCGGGAGGCAATCGCCATCGCATCGCCTCTGAAGCCCCTGTTTCCCCGCCGCTGACAACCTTGGGATGTCCAAGTCGCCTTCCTCGTCCAATACTCTTCTCACTTGCCCCTCCGACTGGGTCCCAAACTAGGGGCTTTTCTCGTGTAGAGTGTGAAAATGGTGGCTTGTTGGTTGTCAGGAAACATGAGGGGAGAGATGTAACCATAACCATGCTATGAAAGGGTCCAGAACCAACACACTCACAAACCGAGGCTAATAACGAAAACGAGCTGACTCTGCGTCTGCCGGGGCCACAGTTCAGCCCCAAAGCCCCATTTCCAGCCGTCACGACCACCACCACTGGGAAACTCACGGCGAGGAATCCGTCCGCACACCACCATCTCTACAAAACGTTGGTTGGCTGGCTTTGCGCCTCTCTGCCCTCCCTCTTCGGCCACCTCCGTCCGTCCGTCCGTCGCCGTCGCCGTCACCCGCCGCCGTAAGACGGCCTCCGTACCTGTTACCTCACCACACCCATTTGCATCCGGGCGCCGAGTAAAACCCCGAACTATACCTACCGCTAAACTCCGGAGTCATTCCGTCGTACACAATCTCACACACCCTCCCCCTCTTCCATGTTGGTGCCAGTGGGATGGAAGGTAGGTAGCCGGTACGTCCAACGCCCCCCGGAAACCAACAAGTTACCCATATCTCTGGAATTGCCGATGCCTTATCGTCGCTGCCTCACCGTATACTTTTACCTGTGGGATATGGGTAGCGACCTTTCCTTCACCCTTAAAACCCGGCATCCGGCAGTCGCATCTAGTATCATCCCGCGCAAAGATGAAGAAATTCAAAAGGCGAATGAGGAAGAGCGCATAACGATCAACCCTATCATCCCGATGCAAGTGCGTGTGTACTCGGAGACCGGGTTGTCAACGCCCGGGTAAGTCACGAATCTACCCGTAAAGCAAATCGGGACTCAATAGTAGATGAAATTGTGTGTCTTGGAACTCTACCATACCTTTGAGTGACTTGCCATTATGCTTGTGTCATGTTTCGCAAAGTCCACGAGGGAGGGAAGGGGGGGCGGGGCAACATCACTTTGTTTAAAGTCCGAAACAACAAGACGCACGTCAAAGGATGCATGTACGCATTCCAAAACCACATCACCAAACTTGACCGTCGGCCACGCCGAGAAACCTCAATCCCAACAAGAAAAAGTATGAAGAACGTAGTCTAGAAACATGGGACGAAAAAGACAAAAAGCGGGGAAACCCGTGGATTATGAGAATCCTTCCCAGTCTACCTTACCTTACTGTGTACATAAAAAAGATGCGACGAAAAATGGAAGCAAGATTCGAGTCTATTGGACCTGCATGTCCCAGATCACAGATGGTATGCATGTGAGATGGACAATCCACACATCCTTGGAATGTCCTTTCCCCTCCCTCCTCTCTTCATCCAGTCCTTCGCAGTTTTGCACACCCCTCTCCTCAGAGGGATTCAAACCCCTCCTCACCGCTGCACGCCACGCATATTCTTGCGTCAACTTTCCCGCGCATTTCACACCTTACATCGGCGATACAGGAACCCGGTCTGGCCGCCGTTGCGCGGCCTAAAAGAAAGAGACTAGCTACGGGGTTTGGTACACTAGGTAGGTCTTCGTAGGCGACCATCGTTGCAAATGTTAGAAGAAACGTGCCAATACCAAACTCTAATAGCGACCTATCACGAAACAACGTCACTCGTGGCCTAGGTAGGTAAAGGGTTGCAAAGATACTTACTCCCACACTCCGTACTGCATACTTGGTGTAGGTAGGTAGGTAATGGCAAGGGCAAATCTCCAACATCTCCAAACATCTCTTTGCTTCCCGCCGCGTGCTCCCATCCATCCCATCCATCACTTTTTGGAGAGTTCCTCGAACCCGACCCGAACGAACCCGGTCCCGGCTGCGAAACACGAGGCACAGATAACTACATGCCCCTACTCAGTTACCTACCTAAGGGACCCATGCAATGCCAGCGCGGTGCAGACTGCAGTGAACCCAACTCCTTGGCCGATCTGGTACACGTACCCACGCGATGTCTCTCTCTCTCTCTCTCTCTCTCTCTCTCTCTCTCTCTCTCCAAAGACTCTCCAAATTTTTTCAACTCACCGTCCTCATTCCCTGTCCCCCGTCATTCAAATGAGTGACGAACATGGACTGTTCTCGACCCTGCCCATCACTTCTTGCGTGTTAAATTTAACCTTTTCTCCTGCGTGTACTCCGTAAAGGAACGCCCCCCCGGACCCGTCGCCAAACCCTACACTAGGTACCTTACCTTATCGGCAATCGCTCACTTGCTACCAACGGCAAACCACAGCGGCAATCGTCGTCATTGTCGAAGCAGAAGCAGAAGCAGAAGCAGAAGGCGAAGGCGACGAGAAGAAGCTAAATTATGCGGTTTTCGTCAGCGGTTGATGTAAGCTTGCGACTCAACCGTCTCACCACATTTGAAGTTTCCAAACGATGCCCGCCCTTCCTCCCTTGGGGTCCCATAGGCCCTGGCTCAAGGGTCCCCCCCATTGAATGTCACTGCTCCCCACACTTTCTCTCGCGGATCAAAAGAGACTCGAAACTACGTAGTACATACCCAGAGCCTTCCGACCAGATACCCCGACATCCGACTCCCGGCTTCCGCGCCGTTGCGTCGCTCTTCTTCTCCTTCATCTCCAGGCTCCGTCTGCGGTGCGGCGTGCTCTACGGGGTACGGGGGAGGCCAACGGAATAGCCGACGGCGACATTGTAAATACTTTTTCGTGTGGGATAAACCGGGCAGTCGTAAGTACCAGGTAGCTGTTGCTGTATAAGCGAGGTCAGACGTATCACGTAAGTATGGTAGGTATACCTACCACCCCGCTGTGCAGCCTCCAAAAAAACAAAAGAAAACGCATTTGCCGACCGCCGAGACAATACCTACCCCGTACCTTGACTTCACCGTAAAACCTGTCGGTTAGCCCGTTTGCCCCGTCAAGGCTCAACGTTGTTTCCAGTGGAGGTTCCCTTTTGATTCGCCCTTTGACAGACAACCTAAGGGTGTGTGTGTGGTATGTGGGTGTATGAGTGTTGCGTATAGGGAAAAAAACGTCTTTTTCTGAAAGGAAGTTGAGACCATCTGCTTATGCAAAGTGTATTTGGGGGTGGGAGTCTTTCTCAATGTGCGGCTGAATGAACCCTGTGAACATGTCAACATCAGATGCCGTGGCCAATCAACTCGTTCAATCGCGAGACTTTGCGACCGCTTTGGGGACTTCCCGGTAGGAGCTCTCTCGCCTCGGGCACTCACGTACATACACCACACCCAGATCTACCCATTGTCGACTTCCCGTCCCACCCCCCCCCCCTTCTTCCAATCGTTTTACTCCTTGCTTGCCAAGCAAACGATGCAGCGAATGCCCGTTCCCGCGGGTTGCCTCTCGTTTTGCCGTTGTCTTCTTCACTTCACATTGCTAGGTGGTTTGAATTTGTATGCGCGCGCAAGGTGGTATCATGTCCGTATTGATCGGTCCAAGTCAATGGAAGCAACGAAACTCTTCTCTCTCTCTCTCCTCTTACAGTTACTTTTTTGGGCCTTTCCATGATTGTGATAGTAAGCAAACAGGACTCCTCGTTCGCGTTGCCAGGGTGAGCGCCGTCCGTACGCCGAACCGAATTGGGCCGCGTCGTTGGCTCCGTCATGAAGCAATATGCCAAATATAGTAATACAGTCCAGAAATACTGACCAGGACACCGCTTCGCCAATCTTCCCTCTCTCTCTTTCTTCGCACCGTCCCGAAAAAACAAAAGCCTCTTGGGAGCCCCATTCCCGGTTAGGGGCCATGCTTCCGAAGGGGCATGAGTGACGCCGGCGCCCGACATGGATCTTCCGTTGTGTTCCCCTCCTCCTCATTTTCATCGTAATCGTGTACATGTATTTCGTCGCGAAGATAAACCGTGTATATGGCGAACAAGGACCGTATAAAGCGAAAATCCAAGATATGTACGTGAATCGCTGTAGCTGCAAGGGGCACCTATTCGTCGGTCCAGAGGCGATTCGCGGAGGCACCCCATAGGCTGGCGAGTGTTGTTATGAACCGGTAAATCGTCGTCGCTATACCAAAGGTGTAAAATATCCCGTAGATGTTGCCGACAAGAAGGTTAGGTAGCTTTGCAAAAATCAATTTGGAAACGGCTCATCGCCGTTTCATCATAGGACCACTGCCATCGTAATCCCAGGCCCGCTTGAGACCGCCTTCGTAGACACTGGCCACGGACTCCTGCCACATCGCCGGCGAGACAAAAGTCTGCACGGGGGCTGCAGAGTATTGCTGCGCCAACTGTTGAGAGGCCACTGGGAGAGTAGCATTGACAGCCTGAATGTCTTGGAGAGACGGGGCTTCGGGTGCACCTGAAGACGGAGAAACACTAAGCGAATTGGACTGGGGAGGCAGCGTCGAAGGCTGTGGTTGGACCTGAGGCGTACCGAAAGACGTGTTCCATTGTCTATAGACATGTATTAGCGGGTGCCTTCGTTGAGGTAGGTGATTGTCGACAACAACTTACTCAAAAATACGTGCGGGATTCCACGCTGGCGCATCCGACAACGACATGGTTTGCTGCATTCCCGACGCTTGGGAACCTTGACTTGCCATCATGACGAGTGACTGTATAGCAGGCGAGTCACTCTTGGTATCCACAGGTCCGGCAGAAATAGGAGGTGTAATGGGGTGGCTGGTATAACTGACTTGGGAGTGTTGAAGGTTCTGCGTGTCCAACTGGTGGTCCAAGGAAGCAGTGCGTGCCATACCCGGCCTGTAACCCCTTGGAGGACTGGAATGGTTGGATGATTGAGGGCTGCCGTAAGGGAAGCTGGGCTTGAGGACAAAGGGTTTCCTGACGTCAGCAGAAAACGCTTCGCGCACCGCGTCGACTTGCTTCTGCAGGTCGGCCATCGGCCAAACCGACATGACCCTTTCGAGCACTCGCATGTGTCTCGTGAAGAACTCTCTCGCATCAGTGTTCAGATCAGGGTCTGGGGAGACGACGGCCACCTGTGTACCATAAAAGTTAGAGAGCCAGTAACGGGGAATCGCAGATCATAACCCACCAAATGGAGCACAATGCAACACAGTCCACAGTAGACGGTGAAACTGAACCCACGAAGCATACACTGCAGTCCGGGGAATCCAAATGAATTCAAAACAGCCTCCTGGAGCCGGCATAGAGCCTTGGCAGAAGAGTAGCAGATCATCATGTGCTGTTTCCATTGTCCATCTTGCGCGTTCGGGTCCAAGAAATTCAGCTGCGGTCGATGAAGCAGAATCAGGGTGAGATAGTAGTAGGAGTGCAGGTTGCCAATGTAAGGTGACGAAAGCCATGGCGGCGAGCCATCGGGCGGGAAAGTAACCGACAAGTCCGCTGGAAGGTCATTCAACCAGGCATTCAGGGCCGGGTTGAGCTGCACAAACTCGGGATCGACGCCCCAATCCTTCGTCTTCTTCTTCTTGAGATGGCCATAGGCCGTGTTCATGCGGCTGACGTTGCGGACAATTCGTGCAAAATAGGTGAAGTTACGGGTGATGTGGTACTCAGAGTCGTCGCCTCCAGGGATTGGGCGTGGGACGCTAAAATCAATGGATTCCAGCTCCACGGCGAGATCAGTACGGCCTAAGGGAGTTAGCAGATTCTTACAAGACGTTGAGAAAGACCAAGTGCCAACCTTGGGGAGAACCAATCATGGTTTCGCACACAAAGATAGACTGCCAGATTCGACTCTTCATCTGGCAATCCAAGGGAGAAGAGCCACATGGCCTTCCCGCTTGATGATCCGTGTAGTGCTCGTCCAGACCAAGATCCTTGCCCATCTGAACGCATTGGACAATCGTCATCCAGGAGCGGTAGTAGTAACCACGCTTTGGTGCTGCTTCCCGAGCCTTCAAGATGAGAAGCAGGGCTTGCAGAGTGCTCAGCCTCGGTACGTCCATAAAAGAGTCGGCGTGCTCTGTCATGATTGTTAGCCTTTGCCTATCCAGCTGACGAGTGTTTTCATACTTGTTGCCAAAGCGAGCCACTGCTGCCCTTGGGCAGGGTCGTCGGCCAGTCTTCCACCCATGGCGAAAAGAGCTTCGAGAATGAGAGGCGAGACGGATTCTCTGTTGGTATTCCACTGGTGATAGAAGACACTTTTGCTGAGAACAGGCACGTAGGGATGCACGTGGCTGAAGAAGAGATCAAAGTAGTGCATGACCGTCTCGTCGTCCGGCATCAGTTCAGGTGGGATGCGAATCTTGAGGCCTGGTCCGGTGATAATGGGCGGAAGAGGAGTCTTGTACTCCTCATCTTCAACGGCGGGCTCCTCATCATGCAGAAAAGAGGCCTTATTCCTCAAGTACGGCGCTGCAGTACGCGTCAGTAACTCTACCGCGTCCAGAAAGCTGCGAGAGAGTGCCTACCTGTTCCAGCTTCGTTGACCTTCAGGGAACCCAGAAGATCAGCAAGATCTGATTGCTGGTAGGAGCCGTCATTGGAGTAGGTGTCGGGAGGGGAGTCCGGACGTTGACTCTGCTGAAGAGGCGGCGTTGGGAAGACGTTCTGACCGGTGTAAGGCTGCTCCATCATAGAGGACGAGGGAGAAACCGTAGTGTAGTGCATGTTGTGTTGATGGACCTGCTGGTCGGAGTAGTGGACGGGTGGAAAGACGTTGGGATCTGAATATGCGCCCTGCGCAGCATACAGTGAAGGATTGGGCTTCTGGCCCCCTGCCATCATGGACTGTTGCTGCATAGGAACTTGCTGGCGGAAGCTGTTCTGTAGTTGCGATGAGGCGGCAGCGAACTCGTCCCCGACAGGCTCATAGGCGTCGGTCGAGGTGCCATCGTACTGGCCATTGGGGCGCACGCAATGGAGCTTGAGTCTGATACACGCCGAGCAGGGCCAGGTGTTCGTTGTGGCCGCGTCGCACTTGATCTTTCTTCTTCTGCATCCTTCACAAGCTCTCATCACTTGATTTCATCAGTTTAGCTAGACTGCACGCATGAAATCGTTTGTCCAAGGGAAAGTGAGCGTACCCTTCAATCGTTTATGACGATTGTGTTCATCCACGAAGACATAATCTACAGAAAGGCACATTTGGTTAGACAAGACGTTGTGGGCGAACCGGAGCGGAGGGCGGTAGAGGTGGAGGTGGATGGCGCACTCTTTTGGGTTTCCCGTTGAGGGAACTGCTGCGGCGCGAAAGAGAAGCTGCCCATCTGGGAGCTCTGAGGCAAGATGCGCCTCACGGAGGGATCGTTTGACATTGTGATGTTGGACGTGACGAGTCGATTTGTTGGTAGCGGTGAGGTCGTGGAAGTAGCCTCGAATGGAGAGCGGAGTCAAAGAAGCGGTTACATTCAAGCCGGTTGCTTGAGTTCTGGGTATGCGTAGCTGGCGACGACCGTCCCGACCTGGCCGCGCACTCGGCGGCTCTTTCTCTCTCTCTCTCACTCGCGCTCGCTCGCTCGCTCTCACTCTCACTCTGAGTGAGTCCTTCAGTGCTGGAGATGTCGGCGACTAGACAGACGTGTCTTGTGTAAAAGACTTGTTGGAAAAAGAGGAAGTTGTAGGAAAAGAAAGTACCAGAGGGGAGTTGTGTCTCGAATTTCTCTCGCTGGGAGCGCGCTGGGCTAGGAATTGTCCGGATTGGTGGGTGATGGTGAGGGGGGTACGCGGGAGAAGGTCAAGCCTTATTATGAATGGACGACAGGTCCCGGCGTGAGGCGTGAAGGGTTGACGTGGGTAGACCTAGAAGGGGAGGCGACCGGGGTAAGGAACAAGATCTGGGCTGGGTACACACAGGCAGGGTCATATCACTGAGCTGCTGGGGCCCAGAGGAAACCGATGTTCGATGATGGATGCGACCAGGAGTCGATGGGGGGAGGGGGGGGCCAGGACCCAGGACTGCCTAGGATGGCAGGGTAGGCTAGACAGTGGTGGACAGTGCTGTGAGGAGGTGAGGATGAGGAGAAGAGGAGCGGCAACGAAGGAGAGCGAGAGAAGGGGTGTGTGTGTGTGCGTATGCGTGTGAGTGTGTGTCCAGGGTCGCAGGAGGCGGACAGGGTTGCTTGAAGGTAAGGTATCCGTACTCCGTAGTTGCAGTGTGTGTGGTTGTGAGGTAGCGTCGTCGACGGGTGTTGGAGAGGGAAGACTTGACTTGGGAATTTGGGACCTTGGGTGTGGATTGTGGAGTGGATAATGGGAAGAGAGAGAGAGAGCGCGAGTTTGAGAGACAGAGAGAAAGAGAGAGAGAGAGAGAGAGAGAAAGTGTGTGTGTGAGAGAGGTGTGTGGGTGTGTAAATGTGTTCCTATGCGGATGTGGAGGAGGGCGTGAGCCAAGGGTGGGAGGTCGAAGTTACGCATTGCGGCGACGGCGTGAGCGGCAGCAGCAGACGGACAGGAAGAGCTCAGCATTGAGGCCTGGGGTCACTTTACTTTCTGCTCCTCCTTCCCCGCCAGCTTGACCAAGTACCTTTCCTTCCAACAGTAAGGTACCTTACTCCGTCCCTCACCTAAGGTCAGGTAGTGAAAGCCGGGCAGGGCAGGGCAGCGCCATCACAGTAATAAGGTACGTCCCTGGCTGCGCCAGCAATAGCACCAGCGCCATTGAGACCGAGGAGACATGAAAGGTACAAGGATGACACGCTATCGGTAGCGTGAGGAACAAGTACCTCATCCGTCTCTCTACCCTCCTCCGCCTTTGCCTTCTTGCCTCCCTGACGGATCTCATCTGTCTTGCTCTCTCCCAGAGTCCCAATTAACTTACTAGTGTAAGGTAGGTAGAGGAAGATGGGCTCCTCTTTGCCCCTTGGCAAGCTCGCCTCTCACAGTGCAGCATCATGTCCATTGCGATCCCGGTGCATTGCGGCTTCGAGAGATGGCTGGATGCGGTATTCGTACCTCATCTCACAGAGAAAGGTATCCATACATATGCCTACGCAGTATCCGTATAGCGCTCTGTTGTCTGAACGAATATCCGTACCTTGGGGCCAGACAGGGCAGGCCGAGACGCAGAGCTGGCGGGGGGGCCAGCGTGCAGGGCAGCGTTGCAAGTCCAGAGGTAAAATGCCCTGTCGCAGGCCGAATCTGGCAGTGAGATGAAGGATTGGCCGGGGGATGCGAACTTTCAACTCTCGACGGGACTCGGGACTCATGGCCAGCACATGGAATAGGTACGAATACGTAGGTACGCAGGTACGAAATACCTACAGTCCACGGATACTTGACTGACGGCTGTTGCCTTCTATTCTCATTTGCCAGGTTGAAGTCTGATGGCTTCTTTGATGGTGGCCGCGTGAAATTGGACCCAGGCTTACCGGGCCCCGGGAAATGGCGTCGACAAAGAAGAAGAATTGGTTCTCTATGCAAGCCAAAGAATCGTGGTAGTATACTTCCCACCCGGCATGGATTAACACCGCCTTAGTGCGCACTGCGCAGTCGTTTCCCCCTCCTTCTCTCTCTCTCTCTCTCTCTCTCTCTAAATCCGAGGTACTCCGTCCGTATCCGTACTTTCTACAACAAAAAGTACTCCGTAGTACTATTAGTCCGTCTTTCTTTCGTCTTGATCAGTACTTTGTACGGATACCTGGAAGACGTCGACGACGACTGTGGCCAAAAGGGGTGACCGAGGCAAAAATAAAATAAAAATAAGATAAAAATGAGGAGACTGGACTGGGCTGACACACAGACAGCAAATAACGGGCAGAAGAACAAGAGACGGATAGAATGTCTCCTGTTTCTTTTCTTGGGTCGGACGGGGAAGGCGGGGGCGACGTTCGAGGCATGACACAGACAAGGAAGTGCTGATAAAGTGAACCACCATTTCCAAAACAACCTCCTCTCGAACTCATCACTCAGTAGTGTGCCGTGTGCTATGTGTGTCAAGCACGCCTTCTCTCCTTGACGTCGTAGGGCAGTGCGAGCGTGTTCGAGCTGGAGACAATTTATCGACTGGTGTAGGGCAGGGCCAAGACCAGACGTTCTAGGCACATCAGACACAAGAGCGAGGATGGATGCCGGAGTGTATCAAGGCACCAAATGCTTCAGAAGGAGGAAGAGGGTTGGGCCTCCAAGGGATGATAGGGGTCCACGTCCGCCCAAAGTCCGCAACCCAAGCATGATCTGTGCCAATGTCCGTCTTCAAGGAGCAAAAGAGAGTCGAGGCAGTTCGGTCTATCCGTACTTCATCGTCGATGAGATGGAACATACATCAGAGCGGCGGCGGTAGCCGATGTGTCGTCGGTGACTTCAGTCTCAACTCTCAATCGACAGGACCATCCATTGACAGGCCAAAACCGAGTCAGAATGCGGCGAGCTGCTGTGAGTGATTGAGTGCATCTGTGCAAGGGACCAGCACGAGGCATGTAAGGTACATGACCTCTTGTCGGAAGTAAAGGTGAGAGGTACCCGTAAGGCAAAAGGCATTGGATTCCATGGTCGGGTGTGTATGCGACCAATGCGCCGCCCGAAAGCCCTCTTCGACTCTCGCGAGTCCTCCCTCAATGCCCCCCTCCCCCTTCAAGTCTTGAGGCCAAGTTCCTGCTCCCATCAATGGAGGGGGGGGATCCCAAGATGCCCTGTCTATGTGTGCGCCCATTTTCCAATCCGAGTCGACTCGTTGGACGGCTTGTATCCGTACTCAGTGCAGGGAAAGGAGACCGTCGATGACCATGTATTCGCACGTAGCCATTGTTGAACGCACTGTACAAGATCTCGACTTGAGCCCAGCTGCCTGCCCAAGGGCGCAACTTGATGGGCTTTCGCCTCGTCGTCATCGTCACGCAGGGCAGTGTCACGAATACAGTATTGCTCCACACTGAGTGTATACTGTGAATGTGCATGCGCACGAAGTGAGCAAGGAGAATGCGCCGCTGTCCCCAAGCTGCCAAAGTATCCTCTGGCCTATGTGCCTCTGCCTCTGCAGCTGGGAGGCTAGCCTGACCGTACTTTGCGTCCAACGTCGTCCCAAGAAACTCAGAGACTTCCCAACAGGCTGGCCCAGCCACACTGTAAATAAAAAAAAAAAAGCGCGCCAGCAGCAAAGAGGAGATTTGTTAGCGGAAAGATAACGGGGAGGACGGTCGGGGGAGATGTTTGAAATGGCGGTAGGGAATAGCGCGAGCGTGGTAGGGTTGCCCATGGAATTAAGCACCCAGACAGCGAAAAGGGCACAAAATCGACAATGCCCCATGTCATCATAATAAGTGGCCATGCTCATTCGATATTGATATCGAATTCCAACTCCCAAGATACCGAGGTGCAACCAAATGAGGCAAGTTGCCTGAGGTACGACTTCTGCATCGCGCTTCCTTTTGCTCCTGGCTCCAGCCCTGGCGGAGATTCCTCGCACTCCCAGTCTCCCTCCCACTTGGGTGTCATGGTACTTCGCGCCCTTTTTAGTGCCAACATCCATGTGCCGGATGCCTCGACGTCTCCGCTGACAGGATGGGAGCTCAGCTAAGCCAATGGATCGCGTAGGGTGTCCATCCTGTTGCCGCAGTAAGCACACACGACGACAATGACCAGATGATCCGCATCTTGAGGAGTCGAGCCAGGTGGTACTCCGTAATAACCACCTTGTAAGGAGTGTCTAGCGTCGAGAGAGCAAACCAGGCAGGCGGATTAGCATTGGCAAGCAAGGTATCTGTACCCGTACCCGTCCGTAGGCTGTAGCCGTACCTTACCCGCCTTGTTGCCCTGCCCAGTAGGGCAAGTCCACCAATTTCTTCATCCACAGCGCCAGTCAACCTGGCATCTCTCGTGGGGTTGGTGGTCCCAGTCTCGCCCAAGGCCCAAAGGGACCCTCATACTCCTGACCGTCCGAGGGGGCAAGGGGGCTGCTAGGAGACACATAAGATTGAGGACGGGTATGGAGACGGTACCTGAGGCTTGACCCCGTCTTATCCTGCCTTGATGGGTCAAGTGCATCATCCAGTCTTGTTCTCGAAGGAGTCGACCTCCACCGTCCACCGACCCCGTTCGGCCACAACGGGGGACGTGGAAGGTGGAGGGCTGCGAGGGTCTTAAAGCAGAAGCTCTGCTCGGGAGCCCGCTCTGTCGGCCCCAGACCGCCCTGGTCTGGGCAAAGGGCAGACGCACACCACAGAGTGTTTGAACTTGAAGTTGTGAGCTAGGTGGGATTCCGTAGACGGATAGTAACACATATAACCGTCCATGGTGTCGGTGGAATTTGCCAGGTGCGGAACTACCATGCACGCGGTTTTCGGCTCTTCTTCTCTCTTGGCTTGGGTTCATTAGATATTGGATCGTCCTCAACGATACTGGGTGCCGCAGAGTAGCTGGCATACCTAATCATCAAACCTTAGGGCGAGAAATTAGGCTTGCGAACCGAGGACCAAGCATTCAAAGCTATCTTTTCGGCAGACGTTGTCCCGTCTGCCGTCGTGCTAACGGGATGAGACAGCCGCACCGTCGAAAGCCGGCGGAGGCGGAGCAAAAGACGGTCGTCGCACCTTTGCCAAAATGGCAATGACAGGTGGCCGGTAGAATGGCTGAAGATTCTCTGAAGGCTTCTAGTCTAAAGACTTGAGCTGAGCCGAGCGCTGTGTTGTTGAGCTTGGATGGCGTGGTGAGGCACTTGCACCGGCTCGAATCTCTCCTGCCTTAGTCTGCAACTTTGATCGGCAGCAAGCCATCTCCGGGGTTGGAGAGGCCCTGGCAGCCTGGCACGACGCACGCCTGGCTGCAACGTCAAGCCGATTCGAATGGTGTCCAGGAGGCCGAGAAGCGGACCGAACCAGAGTGCTGACGTCGAGCGGCGGCGGGAGGTTGTAGGACGAGATAGCCCGAGGAATGTGCAGAGTGCTAGGTAGTCGTGGGCTATGGACGGCCCAAGGGTGTGTATCTTGGAAGCTCCTACGGATTTGCAGCGCTATGCCATGCCATGCCATGGTCAATGATCCATCGAAAGGCCCTTTGGTTTTGCATGGGTACGGCGTGGGATGCACAGCAACGCCAACGACAGGTGCATGGGGAGTGGTCGGAATGGGAGCTTGGAGATGGGAGATGGTCACGATCCATTGGAACGGAGACACGGTATCTGCCGCTTTGTACCGCGGTAAGGTACCGCAGTTGCAGTCGCGAAAGGAAGTTTTGGTTGTGGGTTGTAGCCAGGTGCGATCCCTGGCATCTCCACTGCCCGCTTACCTTATCATTACAGGCCGGCTCGTACTTACCCTAGCCCATTGCCTCCACCGGCTGGGTACGTTAGTGCGTGCTTGTCCACAGTCCACCAGAGCTTGCAGGGGCTAGTACTTGGAGCTAGGCCGCACTGGATATTAGGTCCTTCGAGGTGCTCTCGATG